GTGCACCCCAGAGTTAGATGCAGTACTCTGGGAGGGGTTCCACCAGAGTGGAATAGAGGGGGGGTCACCTGATGATGAGCATTGGTGTAAATCTGACCAGTGCAGTTACTCCAGAATGTATCCAATGTGTGCTCTTCCAACCCAAAAGTAATTCGGATCTGTGACTAAAGATAGTCTTGGGCTCTGAATGTGATAGCATTTACTCTGGCTGATACTACATGGGAAACAACATCTGTGACTATTTTCTGACCCACTGTAGTTCCAAACTCTCCCTGCATGCAGATATAATGACTGTGGGAGCAATATCATATTGGTAGGTTGTAATTCTGTAGGTTCTGAAGCTCATGAAGTCTTCTTTATAAATCAAACACTACGAATACTGATGCGCCTCTCTCTACCACCCTCTCTCACAATTTCCTTGAAATACTCTGCCAACTATTTAAAACTAAAACTTCATCCAGCCTGGGTTGGGCTTCCTGGTGAATAGTGTGCTGTGTCAGTCTCTTACAGAACTGTCATATGCAGCTTGTGGGGATAAATTGTCTTTTTTGTCTGTGTTTGGACAGTGAAATCATTCATCACACTTTCATTCTATGTATATATCTTTTCCTTCTGGTGGAAAGGTGCATGCAGCAATTAAGAATTTTAGAGATAAACATACCCATGCAGTTAATTCCAAAGCAATAAATGTGTATCTGGAGCTTTGGCTTGGGTTTCTGATGGCTGTAAATACTGCCACTCCAAGTTGTTTTTAAAGATTGCAGTAAAAGGTTTATGTCCTGTATCTACCAGCATGGGTGACTTCTAATAATGTATTCCAAAGGTGTAGTGCCATGTCCAGCACTGATTGCTCCAGCAAATGAGTACTCCTCTTCACTTGAGTCATTTGTAATCACCTAACAGCTTGACTTTCAGTCTGGAAAGCGTAATTTTGTCAGATTGGTTTATGGCACTATATATCTCACCACATTTTCAGAGATTGTGACAGCTACTGGTTTCATATTTGCTTCCAAATATTTTTATGTACCTTAAACAAATGTTTCCTTCTTTACAGTGAATGTTCTAGATGCTGTTGAGGTGTTCTTTCCTTAAAAAAAATAAGGCAATCAAACAATAATGTGTATAATGAACATGAATTATTTTCTTTTTTTGGAACTAGATTTAAAAGACCTTTTTCTTACTCACTCTAAGAGCTTCTCCTTCTTCTGTTTTATCTCAGTGGTTACAATAGTTTTGCTGGACTCCTCCAGAGTTAGAAGAGGGGGGGGGGTTATTTTTTGTTTGATTTATGGTTTTGTTATTGTTGGGTTTTGTGGTTTTTTTGGTGGGTTCTTTTGGTTGGTTGGTTGGGGTTTGGGAGTGTTTTTTGTAAGAACTTCTGTGCTATTTTATGGGCTGATTGAAAATTTGTGACCAAATACTGCTGTCTGAAGCCTGTGTGGGACAGGGATTGCCTTCAGTATTTTTGGGTTGCATCTTGCAAAGGAGTAGGAATTTCCAGAGTCACTGCATTATGAGTTACAATTTAACTCCAGGAAGGGGAAAGATTAAAGACCTTCCAAACACTCTTCTACCTAAAGAAAGGTGACTCAAGAAAAAGAGCAAAAATCTGAAGGAGGGGAGAAAATTAATAAAATTAAGAATTAGGGCAGTAAAAAGAAACCTCGCTACCCAAGGTAAATTTCAGAGCAGAAATAAACTCTGGAACTCATTGCCACATGATACTGATACAGAAATGTAAATGAATTTTAAAAACAATTCGACACTGTAATGAAAAAAGTATTTACATGGATGCAATTGTTGATAGCCCAAATTTTTTAAGTTGGAGGAGAACACAGCTTGGATCTGTGAGAGAAAGATGAGAGCAAACACTTATGTTGCAGGAGATATCAGCATTTTGAGGACAGGTTTTGTGCAACTGATAGGCTGAAGATAGGGAAAACATTACTATTTGGCCATTGCCACTGATAAGAACTATTGTCAGATTCACAGCTTTTGGAGCAGACAAGCAGAGGGAAGCCTTGCTTGCAGAAGAGAGCTCATGTACACACACATGCACACAGATGCAGTGCATTAAACTCTTCAGGTGATCAAGGGGAAAAGGGAAACTAATTCGAACCCCTTGCCCTGAAACTCAGTTTGCCTCGGCAGTGTTTTCAGTTTGTGCACCTGTGACAAACACTGCACTCATTTACAGCTTCTGCTGAATTCTGACACTTTGTTCTTATTAAAGTGATGCATCTCCAGCCCTTTAGTTCTCACCTTAGCTCTCACACTTTTTTATGTTTATCCTGTTTGATATAACACCTTCTTTTTCCTGAGAAGGACTGTGTGTATTTGGACTCATTTACCTTTACAGATTTATGCTTTGACTCCTGACTTGTTCTTGGACCACAAGCAAACTTGAAGATGTCATGGGAAATTCTTAGTCATTGCTGTAAAATTTTTAGTTCATGCACCTCTAGATGTTGGTTTTATTTTCCAAATGCTGAGATTTGGGGTTTCCTCATGAATTGTCTTTTATAACAAATGACTGCAGCTCAGATTATGAGTTTTTAATTGAATTAATGTTTTTTTTCTGGCAGTAACTATTGAAAATCATGGCTGATATCCTGACTTTTTTAAATTAGTGGAACAATGACTCTGCCTAGATAGAAATTCTGGGCTGTTAAGTTTGCCAGGTGTTTGAAAGACATCTGTAAGACTTTTCTGTTACAAAGCTTTTAAAAAGCAACTCATCTTTGTTGGTCTGTAGTATAATTACTATCTATAGTGCTATTAAGGATGTTAAAATGCTATCAGATTTCAGCATAAAGTGATGTGACAGTTCATTTTCTGTAATCCTATTAGTTTTTAAATGTTTGAGTTTTGCATATTTTAATTTGTTTACAAGGTGCCCCAGGTAACTATTTTTTCACAGCATGTGATTTTGCTGATGAATTATAAGATTAGCAGAAATTCCAGATACATTTTTCTTAATGAGGGTATCTTCCTATTTTGATATCAAGGCCTGTTTTTAATTAGTTAAGGCAATGCAAAATGAATAAACTCAACATACTCATACATCACATTGATTGCTAGTATTAATAGCGTAAGTAAGGAGCTGAGTAGAAAATAAGAGAATTCATGTGTTTTTTTTTTTTTTAAAAAAAGCCTTCTTTTTTTATGTCTACAGTTTAAATTAAGGTTCCATCCTTCCCTGAAAGCTGAGCATTAAGTGAAAGCTTTCTGTGTGCTAAGTATGCCAAACAAGTGGAACACAGGAATAATTTGCCTATGAATAATAGTTACCCTACCCTTCCCAAGACCTTTAATTTGTGATAAAGAGGTATGACTGATACCAAGGATGGGACTAGTTTAGTGGCAGCGTTGAAACATGGTTATTTATGCATTTATTTTCCCCAAGAAGAAGGTGCGCATTTCTCAAGACTGCTGCTTATAAAATGAGTGTTCATATAATTGGGACAGTCTGGCAACAAGCAGGTGGGGCATACAGGCATGTTTAGGTGCTGAAGATCAAGAAAAGGAGATGAAACAAAGGCCATGCCCTCCTGGTGAAAGAAAGTTAAACCCTCTGCTGTGAAGAATTTCTTCTGACATTTCTGTCGTCTTGGCAAAGTATTTCTTAGCTGAATTTCTATTTTACATGCCCTGAATTTTTTTGTGAATTACAGCACTGCTTACAGCTTGGCAGGGCCTCAGAGGTTCTTTTGGGACCAAGGCAAGCACTCCACAGCCTTGTACAGCCTGTGGAGCACAAACATGCATTGAAAACTGCAACTCAACTGACTCCTGTAGATTGATCCTGCGGGGGTTTTTTTTAAGAAAAAGGAAAAAAGTACCAGAGATTCCTCTAATTGAAAAATAAGGGTATTACACTTGTGCAGTGTTGTGACCCACCCACTGGGCAAAGACATCTCTAGGTTTTATGGATTTCATCCTTATCTGTTTTTCTTAATATACTCTTCCAAATTTTCTATTTTGATTCCCAGTGACTTCTTTTGTTGCTAGCTGATCTCTTTTTTCAAAAATGGCAAGTTGTTGTAAAATGTGGGCTTGTGTCACGCCTTCGCAAATTGTGGGTTGATTCTGAAAAGATCAGATCCTATTACTGTGTAGCTACTGTCAGATTTACCAACTTGACCTTATCTCTCTGAATAGGATGGGCTTTGTCATTGCTAAGGAAAAAATTCTGTATTTGATTTTGAATGGAAAATCCATACTGATTATTTCCTAAAATATATACTCTGGTATAATGATTGCAATTGCTCTGTACCTACATTGCAGCTACTGTAGAGCTTCACCAAAGATATATTTTTGACACTTTTAATTGACTGTTACTTACACAGCTAAAAATATGTATTTGACTGAAAGTATTTATGATATAAATACCTCAAAATTAAAAAAAACCCAACATAATTATGGAAAGGTGTATAGGAAGCTTGAATTTCAAGGGATGCAAATCTTGAAGCCATCTAACTTACTTTTTCCAGTGTAATAAAACTATAATTAATAATGTCATAATTGTATGTTCCCATCATCTAACTGTACTATGCTGTGAATGCTACTGGGTAAATGTAATTGAAATGTCAGAGTTTATATGAGTTTGTGATATAATATGTAACAGAACACATTAAATGAACAATCGATACAATAAAAATAGTTAATCAGAAAGTAATCTGAATCAACCAAAAGGGATACATAAATCTCCTTTTGCTTGTGTGACACCATATAGCCAAAATATAAAAAGGAAAAGAAAGACTGGAGATGTGTTTTAGAGGTAAACTCTTCACTCAGAGTGCCTCCTGGTCATGTTATGTTATGATATACATGCCTGAAAGAAAAGCTCTGTGGTAAATGTCATCGATGACTTTGACAAACAGAAAAATCTGCAGTTAACACTCTCAGAAATAACCCAAAGAATATTGCTCTTGCATGTCACATCAGTTTGGAATACCAATTTACGTGGAAAGTTAATGTACTATTCTATCTAATTTCAGAATTTCTACATAGACAACACCAGGAAATTGTGTTCAGATCAAGATGCTGCTGTTTTGGAATTGCAAGTTAGTTGTCAAAATGATTTGGTGCATTGTGAGAATAAAGACGCGACTGGGAAAGCTGCACTAGTGGAAACCACTGTGACTAAAGGTCAGTAAAGCTTTATGGTTTGAGCTTTTAATACAACAAAGCTTAACCTCAGCCCTAATGAAAATTTGTCATACAGGAGTATCTTGTGTGACTTCACATGGAATCTGTGGCTTAGTCAAAGTGGGATGAAAAGGGAACCTTTCTGTTCTTCCTCCATAAATGCCATAAGGCAAATTCATCCAGGCTCTCAGCAGCAGCGTGGTATTAAACTCTGTCTGACACTGCAGCTTGAATGTTCAGTGGGTTTTTAGGAACAGATGACTGGAAAACATGTGCTGATCTTTTGCTTTACAGTGATGCATACACGTAATCTGTTATTAAGAAAAAAACCTATCCCAAAGTGTATTGAGATGAGAAAGCCATTTACATTAAAGATATAGAGATGCCTTCAACTCATATTTTTGTATTTTGAAGAACATAATAATACTGAGCAAAATCCTTGACCAATAATTGTTTTTAAATTTTTTTATACTTATTTGTATTTCCCATAATTTTGATAGATGGCTAGCTCTTCTACTTATCTTCCAAGTTTTTCCTTTTTCAGAAATAAACGATACTGAAGTTGAAAGGCTAAATCATGAGAGGACAAATCCAAATTCATTTTATGTATTTCAGCTTGGCAGTTAATATTAAAAAAAATATTTCATTAATCTCTCGGTCACAGGTTATATTTGAGATATGAAAAAAATCACATTAATTGCAACACTGGAACATTTTGAAGACTAAAGCATGAGTATTCATCCTCACAGCATTTGTTAACTGATAATTGATATCAATAGAAGAACTTCTTATAAAGTTCCTCTTTTTTTTCTTGTCATTCAGTGTGCAGGACTCTTAAAAAGAATTGTCTATTTGAAACTATGTGTATTGAAACTTCTAAAAGCTACATTAACCAATTTTCTGGAGAAGCATTACAGTGCCATGCTAAATATTCACTAATCCTTATTGCTGTGGAAATTGATTATTTGGGGACTGATTATTGAAAGTGATGTGGTTTAACCCCTGTCAGTGACCAAGCCTCACACAGCTGCTTGCTCGCTCCCCCCCCAGCAGGATAGGAGGCAGAATTGGAAGGGAAGAAGCCAGAAAGCTTGTGGATTGAGAGAAAGACAGGGAAAGCAAAAACCACTCACACAAGCAAAGAAAAACAAGGAATTAATTCAAGGCTTCCCACGGGCAGGCAGTTGTTCAGCCATCTCCAGGACAGCAGGGCTTCATCTCATGTAACAGTGATTTGGGAAGACAAACTCCATCACTCCAAACGCCCCCCCTTCCTCTTCCTTTCCCTTTGGTCAGTTTGGGTCACCTGTCCCAAGCTCCAACTTCCCTTGCCAGCTATGGCAGTATGAGAAGCAGAAAAGCCCTTGGCTCTGTGCAAGCCCTGCTCATAAAAAAAGCCCTTGCACATAAAAAAAAAAATCTCCATATTATCAACCCTGTGTTCAGCACAAATCCAAACCCACCCTGTACTTGTCCCTGTGAATACAATAATTCTGCCCCAGCCAAAACCAGCAAAATATTTTGGTATCTGGCAGCATCTAAATAAAATTCCAGATTTCTTATTTTGTGGCTTTGAAAAATCTCTTTTCAGGCTTTGTTTTGTCACTGTTTAATAATTTGATTATATTTTATAGGGGTAAATGGTGAAGCTTACATGTCAGCATGTACAAAGGACAGTTTAAATCCCACAAAATAAAAAGAATACCAACATGGGTTAACGTGGTACTCTTTTCTTGTTAAGGGTACTTCCTGTAAATCACTGAGGCTTGGCTTTGAAAGCCATTGTCCATGCTACAGGGATTATTCGGGTCACTTGCCTGGGTTAGTCTCTGTGGTGTAAGGCAGACATGGGACTCAGAGGGAACACACCTGAAGAAAATGTGACCAGAGTCTCTTTGAGAAAGAAGGCAGACATAAAATTGATGCTGAGGCTTGGCTTATTGACAAGCACAAAAGTCAGTGCTTGAGTAGGTGCTTAACTCTATTGGCCTAGACTCCTCACAGACAAGAAATGTGACACAGGCTAAAGTCTCAAAGTGCCTTTATGGTGAAGACTCTTCAAATATTTTTCTGAACGCAGTTTCTCAGTTTGTGCAAAAAGTGAAGTCATAGAGTCACTTCCTGTGCCTGTTACAGGAATTGTACAGCAGTTTCTAAGCTGATCTCCATTGGCTGAGAAAAGCAGTATGGAGCCACTGTTACTAAAGCTTCAGCTCACTAACAGGACTGGGAGGTCACTTGGTCTTTCCATTTTTCTACTGCAAAGGTATTTGTAACTTCTTGTGTTTCTTTTGTAGCTGGAAGGGTCTGGGAAGTGTCTGTCTCCATCTTCTTCCTATCTTCCCATCAGGTACTGATGCCCAGTGGTAACATCTTCCTTGAGCCTTCTCTACCAGACTGAACAGCCTCAGCCCTCTCAGCCCCCCTTCATGACCCTCTGCTGGACTTGCTCCAGAACATCCATGTCCCTCTTGTACTGGGAGCCCAGATCTGGACCCAGCACTCTAGGTGTGCTCTCACCAGTGTTGATCAGGGGGACAAAGATCTCTGCTGGAACCACTTTGCCTAATGCAGCCCAGGAGGTGTTGGACCACTTTGCCACAAAGACGCATTGCTGGAGCATGGTCAGCTTGTCTTCCAGGACTCCAGTGTTTTCCTGGGCAAAGCTGTTTTCCAGTCATTCCTTCCCAGGCCTTGCATTTTTTTCCACTGAACTTCATGAAAGTCCTCTCTGCCCAGTTCTCCCACCTGTTCAGGTCCTTTTGGATGGCAGCACAACCATCTCAGCTGCTCCTCCCATTGAAAACTTACTAAAGGAAGCTCGTTCCCATCTACTGCTCCATTAATGAATCACTGTGTCTGTAGCAGGCACCCACAGCATCACTCATATTGGTCTCCCTGTTAAATCCTGGCCCAGAAACTCTCAGGGGGTTCTTCACATGTCCCTGCTTCTGTTACCCATGATGCCGGCAAGATTTCTTCCTTCTCCTTCATGCTGTGTGTTAGCTCATGCAGTTTGTGGTTCTGGACCTGGACTTTTTGCAACAGTTCCAGGTTTGGACCTTCTGCTGAACATGTTTCAGCACCATGGTGAAATGCTGCAATATCACTGACTGTCCCATCTGCCCTGCTTGAAGTCTGTCCACCTTCTCTCTCTTTGTTCATCCAGAGATAACAGCATTAGTCTTTTGTCCACCCCATTAAGCCTTATTTATATGTCATTGATAACCCTTTTTTGTAATCTCCAAAAGCACTTGACTTTTATTGTGATTTTTCAGCTTCTAGCACAATTCTGTTTTTCTTAGCCAATTCTTCACTTGCTCTTAATTCTGAGACAATCTAATTGAGAAGAATACTTTTTCAGGTTTGAAAATATCTTTTCTCTATTGTTCTTGTTCTGTTTCCTTTGGCAGTCATTGCATCAAGATCCTAATATTTGCTGTGACATCCCTTCAGAGAAAGCGGGGTTTACTTTTCTTCCGGCTGAGACCATCATTAGTCATGGTAGACTGATGACTTAACTCCTCTTGCTTCTAGTAGACATATTTTTTTTAAACTTTAGCTATCACTCAGGCTTATCTTTTCCTGTGTTTTTCCATGAATTTATGGCTGGAGACCCATGCTTTGCAGGCAGCTTCCAGGTAGCTTTGGGTGTATGACCAAGAGTGTTAGAGAAAGAAAATGGTGTTAAGACTGCTGAAGGCTTGCATGAATGGTACTGCAAACATTTACAGCACTAACTCTTCCCATGCATCTGAGTTCTTAGCCATGTATCTGATTCAAAAGCCCATCAGTCACAGGTCTCCTGGCTCATTTCTCATTAAAATTTCAATTAGTTAATTTGAAGTTCATCCTATTCACTCTTTTGGCTTAGGCTATTCATGGAACACCAGACAGAGGATAGCTTTTGTTGCTGAGGATTCCAAACAAACTCCTAGTACCTCTCTTAGTATGCACACTGAAAATCATGAAGTAGTATCATAATGATACTTCTTTTGCAAGACTAGGAAATTGCTTCTTATTTAATTGCCTTGGAGTATGTCCCTTTACAAATTCTGTCCAAATTGGAGTATAGTGTGAGTTTGAGCTAGGCAGATATAACCCAGTCCAAAGAACAGTGATGGATTGTGACATATCAAAGCTAAAATTTTTCCTGAAAGTTGTATGTTAGTGTATTCCAAAATTATTTGGCTTGATTATAAGATAATTGCAGAATTATACAGGAGAGCAGATTAGATTATGGAACAGTTCTTCCTGGCCAGCCAAGGAATCCCCATGAGTCCACTGCTGCGTGCAGCAAGCTTGCCTGTTCCAGAGGCTGTACTCTGCTCTGCTAATTCAAAAGATAATGGATTAGAAAATATGTCAAGACTAATAACACAGACACACTCCTGTGGGTTTTGAGTGGGAGGAAATGCACCATTCACTGACTAATCTTTAAACTTCTACTGATGAATGTTAAGCCACCCTCCAAAGCACCAACCTGTTTCAAATTCCTAATAAGGATGTTGAATCTGTACTCTCAAAAACCCCTCTAGTTACAGAAACAATTTCTATTTCTTACCAAAGGCCAGATAGCTCCAAAAAGAAAAACAACGGGTTTTCCTACATTTTAAAGCCTCTGTTGCCTTTCTTTACAGAGCTCATGTTAATAAAGATAGGATTTATTATCTTTGCTTCTAAGAAATGGAACCTTCTTCTTCTGTTGCAATTAAACCTGAATAGGCCACTGAAGATGTTATCTTATTTTCTTATATTTGACTAAGGTTGAATTAATTAAAAATGATAGCAATATCTGCAGGATTATAACTTTCATCAGAAATCTGCTGTATCAGTTTTTCTTTATCCTTGAAATTTATTCTAAGTGGAGTTTCTAGAACATTACATAATCTACTTATTCATGGCATAGGTTTCTGGAATAGTTACAGTCTGCAACAAAACAGTGTTTATGCTGATTTTGTTCATTCATGTCAGGATATTTTAGAGAGAATATTTATATATTCTGTATTTAGGCACTTGCTTTAGGACGCTGGTGGGCTGGAGAAAAAAAAAGAGGATTGGGCCTTTCATTCGTGCTTTTGGATGCACATATATCTACTAAATTTTCATATATCTACTAAATTTTAAAGATGGTTCAAGAAACTTCTGCCCCTGTAGCTTGCTATCCTGTTAGTGAAGACAATACTTTGACTATGGTACTGTGCTCTAAAACAAATATTAAAATGAATTAAACATAATAACCCCAAAAACTTAAATAAAAATCTAGAATTATGAATTATTAAAAAAAAGCTGCTTTTCTTTTATGACATCACAGGGATTTTGTACTAGTGTTCTGAACTAGGTGCATGGGAATAAACAATGTGAATTAGGAATCCTTTCCTGTATGTGTGTGTGAAAACTCCCTCCAGCTTCTCACTCAGCTCAGTCTTTGATTAGGCAAATAATGATATTAGATTCTTTGGCTCCCATGGTCTTGTAATTTTTTAAAAACAAAAAAAAAAAAAAAAAAAAAAAAAAAAAAAAAAAAAAACTTTCTGTGCTTTCTTCTGTAAACACAGAATTTACAGAATTTATCCTTGGCTGACACATCTTCTGAGGTAAGTTTAAAAAAAGGCAAGAAAATTACTTAAAATATGGAGATCATACCATTTACCATTTTATAGGATGTGATACACTTTAGTAAATGATATTGAAATGTTTTCAATCAGCTTTACTCTCAACCAAACTCTAACTTGTTTTACGGCAGGGAGAAGAAAGCACAGGCTCTGAATCCCTCTAATTTCACTGGTTTGTTAGATATGACTTATTTTAATTGCAGTAATATGCAGAGATTTCAGACAGGAGCTTAGGCGGTTGCAAGGAGGGGGTATGAGAGCATAATACATATTTAAACCAAAGGTTTAACTCATGTGAGTGCCCTTTCCCACTCTCTGGTGATGCTGCAGGCTCTGCTCCCCCAGTCCTGTGCAGAGCAGCACTTGAACGTCCCTGATGGTGCCCTGAGCCCCACTCTGTGTCCTCTCGCAGGAACTTATTTTAAGGCAAGAAACATGAGACTGTTTAAAACTTGTGGCAACCATTTCTCATCTGCAAGAGCTGTTGTTACACTGGGGATTTATTTTATACGAGGCAGTAGTGAAACAGTGGAAACTAGGTCTCATAAAACCAGCAAAACAGACCAGAAAAAAAAAAACTGACAAAGAAAAACATTTTAAAGTTAAAGGACAGTGAAAAATGTCAACAGTTGTCTATTTCAGGAAATTTAAGATTCTTTTAAAGGAATTCAGACTAATCTTTTCCAAATATTAGTTTAGGAGATTCCAGAGGAAGATAAATATTACCCATACCCATACATTAAATACAACCCTACAGTTTATGTGAAATATTTTGATTGTGGCACATAACAGTTTTTAAAGATATGCTACATCATCCCATGAAGTAATGGTTGATGGATATCAGCTCAAGGAACAGTCCATTAGTTTTATGGGCTCTGATTCTTCTAACACTGATCTGCTTTCAGCAGCACTCCCTAAGGAATTAGTTCTCATTAACACTGAGGAACATCAGAACCAGACTCACAGCAAACAAAATGCTGCTGCTCATAAAAATGCTTGGTTTATGCATATACCTTTGGTTCTGCACATCTTCAATTAAGTGATCTGCAGAAATAAGGATGTGGTTCTACTATGGTGAGTTCATAACATTATTATGCTAAATATTTCACAACTTTTTGTCAAGTTAGGCATAAATAAACAACAAATGCTGTGTAATTGAATGTTAATTTATGCAGAGTTAAAACTGATGTGAAATATTTACCACAGCTATAAAACTATGTTATGGTGACATGGCTAGAGGCATTCAGGTGTGCAGAATTGTACATGTACATGAGTTGGGGCCTCTAACTCTTGTGTCCTTCAAGCAAGAGTCTTCATGAGTTGGGTCGTTTGTGTTGCCTACCTTTTGAAGAAGGGCAAAATGGAGACTTATGGCAACCATTTCTGATCTTGAAATTCCTGAAAAACAGCAAACATATTCCAAGAAGAAGCCAATTTATCCTGCTTGCTCAAAGATACAAATGAAATTAATGGAAATTTTTAGTCTGCAGAGCACCAGCCTTCTACTATAAAGGCAAATATAATTACACAAATTGTTCCAGGAAGAGCAGAATTAATGAAATTTTATTTAATAAGTATTCAGGACTGTTGCCCCCTACTCCTCTCCGTGCTTCCTGATAATAACCAAAACTCTCCTTGCAGTGCTCTGATCAAAAGAAAAAGAGCAGGTCTGGAGCTATGTGTGTGTTGAGTGGCCAGCCAATATGCACACACTGATTTACCCTGCTGTCTGCTGCCAAATGGAGTGGATAACAGCTGTGTTCTGCATGCTTCTCTTTCAATAGAGGAACTAATTCAGCTCTAGCTTTAGTAACCACTGTGAGACTTCTGTCCCCTTTTCAAATCTGACTGAAATTGGCAGAAATAAACTTGTAAAAGTACTGAGGATATTGATGGATGGATGGACAGCACGATGACATAAGCCTTGTTTCCTTGCCAAACTGAGATGGCCTATCTCATTCGCTAATTCAGCGTTGAGGCTAATAGATTGTTCTTTCAAACAGAGAAGAAAATTGCATTGATTTCAGGGTTCAGAATCCCCCTTGGACAGTTCAGCTTGTCTCATTAATTGTTTAATGCTTTATTGAAGTGTAAATATATTTATTTCAAAAGGAACTCTGAACAGGTTTGGGACTGGGGACAGCTGTGATTTAGTCTGGCCTGATGACATCAACATTCTTTCTCCTTGAGCTGTCTTGCTTAGAAGTGTATCAATTTGTTTATATGTGTTTGGGAAAGAAGAAAGCTGGCTATGCCATCCATGAGCAATCTGTACCTTATATCCGTATTAGCAAGTCTAAGTGCACAAACAATATTTCCCTCGCTGAATCACAGGGATTAGCTGATTCTTTCAGTGCCTGTTTTATTCATTAGTTTGCTTTTATTGATATCAAGCCCAGGGAAATTGCAAATGAACTACAAACCCAGAAATGTTTATTAACAAGATAGTGGCCACATATGAGATATTACATGCATTTCTAATCGTATATTTGGGGTTTTGCTTTGGGATTCTTTTTCCTTTTGATGCCTAGATCTGCAAATACTTTGCTAATTCAGCAGTGGGAGACTCATGGCAATATAGGTCTGTGACACACTCTGCACTGGTGTAGCCAGACAGATACTTGATTAACCTTTTATTTATTTCCAGCCTTAGATAACCTATAAAGGAAAGGATCACACCTTCAGAAAGAAATTACTATTACCCAGTTTTCAGTCTCAGTCAGACTGACTGACTCTCTCAGCCATGGAGAGTCTCAGGAGGAGCACAAGTGGGATTTGGAGACTGCTGAAAAACTATTAAGTTATTCTCTTGTTGAAGGGGCGCACAGTGGTTGAAAACATAAGACTGGGAGAATTCTTATTTGAGAAGTTTCATAAAGAAGAATCTATTTAACAAACATGGCTTGCTGGGAGGTCAGATAGTATGCTCTGATAGGTTGTTTCAGGTAGCGCCCTAGCACAAGAACAGTTATACCCTCAACAGTGTTGCACACTGGTTTGCAATTTCAAGTGAAAAGTTTGGCTTTAAAAACACAGTATCCTCTGAGCTCCACGACCTGTGAGACTTCCTGATAAACTCTAAATATTATTTGCCTTGGCAGTGGATCTGTGATGGTATCACCACCATCATCTCAGCTCTAGTTGGTTCTATTGCCACCACAGGCTGGGCTAAGGGATGGGGTGGCTCTGAGGGTGAAATGGGGCATTCATGGACATTAAACACCTTATGGAGCTTAGTTTCATGAGTTCAGTGGTCCCACATGTCTTGCAGAGCTTCCTCTAGCCCCACGGAAGTGGTGGACCACCCAAGCAGGGCATGAGACCCTGGGATCTCCTGGCAGCAGCCAGAGCCGCTGTGACCTGCAAAGTGAAGTTGTTACAGTTCCCAGATGCAGAGTAGAGCCCACCACAGCGCTGGAGCTGCTAAGAGGCCTCCAGTGAGATATCTGCCCTTGCAGGAAAATATTGCTGCTTTCTGAAAGATTTGTCCTCTGTGATGCTTCAGGCCAGTCTAGCTGGACGTAAAGAAATGCACTTTAAAACCTTTCATTTTAACCTCATGCCATTCTCAACTCCATGTCTCTGCCACATCACCTTTGAAATAAGAAGCAACTGGGGGGCTCTGGCTCCAGGAAATCCCAAGGTAACACCGTGGTTCCCCAGCTGCAGGGCTTCTCTTCTCAGGCAATGAAACACAAAAGCATGGAAGCACATCTGTGGTAAGGATGGTACATGCAACTTATGGCAGGGGGACTGCTCTTCTCTTGGTATGGTCAGATAATTTCATCTGCTTGCTTTATGCTGTAAGTGATTACACCAGCTAAACTTCTCAATAAACTTTAATGTTATTCATACATAGATAGCAGGAAGTGGTCAACTTAGAGGTACAAGCCTATGCAAAAACTGAAATAGGAATTCTTGAGTGAAGACACTCTTGTAAAGTGCTCAGCTCATTTTCATTCTTGTTCTGTCACAGATACTGTTCAGAAAATTGAGCAAGTCACTTAGGATCTCTGAAAAATATGAAAGTGAAGAGAATATTGGTTTCTTTGCTTTCATGGTTGCATTTTTGAATTGTACCATTTTTCTTCTCCAGGCCAAGGGCAGAGTCTTCCATTTACTTAGAGTTATTTTTTGCTGATTTTTCAGGCCCAGCAAGAAACTATGAGGCAGAAGAGGACGAGGAAGAAGAGCATGACTACAGCTATATTGATGAAAACATAATTGAAAACATAAGAAAAGCATTTCATGGCACCAGCATTAGAAATGAGCACACAGTCTCCAAAGGAAGAAGGTGAGTGTAAGCTGGGATCACTTGTGGATGCAAACAAGTGCAGGCAGAGTGATTTTTCAGACTGGCTGGTAACCTGCACTTCCCAAAACAAGAGAGGTTTTCCCCTGGGAACTTGCACTGTTAGTGCAAATGTCCTGCGAGTAAGGCAGAAAAGGCTCCTGTGGGCTGCCACCTGTGACCTCTTAGCCATGTCACCTTTGTTAAAGGAGGACCTATGATTGTTCTGGGGATTGAAGACCCTTTTCCTGGTTTGTGCCAATTTGCTCTGAGATTATAGTGCTCTGAATGCAGCCCTTTTCCTCTTTCTGGAGGTGGATGACTTGTGCATTTTTATACTTTAATAGCTTTCAGGCATTATCTGTGCTTTCATTAAATCTGCAAGGTTCTGCTCTGGCAGTCTGCAGTGACTTTAAGTGCCAGTGAAGAGGGCCTTTATTTCTAAAAATTTCTAGGTGTCATTTCCAGCTAAACACAGATGAGAATTTTTCTAGATATGAGTGAAACTGTGGTCACAGTTCTTTTCACTCATAGCTGAACCTTCTATGAATTTCACTTGGTTTGGTTGAATTTCTTCTTTTGTGAGGAGAAATCCACGAAAACTCATGAAAAATTTGAAATATTGTGTTTCAGAAATTTAACATGAAGTATTTAATTGCAAAATATACTTTGCATTTATTTTTAAATTATGTGCAACATTCATACTGTGTTTAAGTTAAGCAACATGGTGAATATGAAGTAAGGTGGGTTTTTTCTGCAATGCTCAAAACCCTCAGAAGCATGACATCCAGGGCGGTGTGTGGCCATGTCTCCCCCTGCTCACAGACACAGAGACTCCAACATTACAGAAAAGACTAAAAATGGAACTAAGTAGGATGCTCCACATAGCGCATTTCTTCCTCAGTCCATGTGTTATTGAGGTTCTACCAGGTAAAGAAGTTGAGAAAGAATTAAGCTCTCTTCTGATTAAAATACCCCTTCTGACCATAGGCATTAAGGGGAAAGCATACTTTCAAGAAGCAATGCCAGCCTAGGGGATCAGCATCTGTTTATACCACTTACTATGTGGCATCAGCTCTTTGAAGTCTTTATCCACCTGTCCTTTAAATTCCCTGTTAATGGAAGCAAAGTTTCACTTTATTGGTTGTCCTCTTTGAGGTTATCAGCAAAACATGAAAGAAAAGGACCTTTGCTGACTTGAGGGAGATCACCCTCTTTGGATAATTCTTGGTTTATAAAGCAATCCCAACAATTTTTGTCCTTAATGTCTGACAGATATACCCACACTCTGAAACCACTAGGTAGCCGAGGAGCACGTGGCTCCTCCAGCCTGCTGGTCTCCCCCAGCCTTCTGAAATCTGTGCTATTTTCTAGAATATTCAGTTTCTATCAAGATTCCATCCTTGCACTTGTGAGCATTTTGGGAAATAAGGATTTGATGTGGGCATTTGCAATTAATCTTTAATACAGGCAAAAGTTTTAAAAATATGTAGCCACATAAAATGTGTCAAATGCTTAATATCTGATAATGATAGTTGTTGAAGAATTCATCACCTAACCATTTCCTAACTATGATGTCTCCTTTCCTCAGGACATTTATGCCATTTTTAATATCTACTTTTAATTATTTGGTATATATGATTTATCAAAATTATAGATATGATTTATCAAAATTAAGTCTATTGATCTAAAATACTTTTAAATACAATCTCTAGGAGGAAAAATAGTTTTGATGAAATACAGAAGTAAGCCTCAACAGTTAAGTCTACATTAAAAAAATCAGTATATATTATTTACAATGTTCCACCAGTGTCCCTCTTGAAATCTTTCCATGATCAGGGCTGAAGCATGCCAGGGTGATACTAGTAAAATGTTAGTCTTCATCCTAAGCAGGAGCGAGAAAGAACAGAGAGTTTCCTCAGGTCATTGCTATGTTAATTTTGATAGAATAAATGTGCCCAGAGGGTCAATGATGTTAACATGACCTCATCACTCCAGAACAACAAACAATTAAGCAAGAGACTTCACTACAGATGCCTGAGTTTGCTATAGCAACAACCATCATTAACATATTTTAACCTTTCATTAAATATTCAAGAGAAAGTAAAAAAAAAAAAAACCCACACCACCCCGAAGCATTTAAAATGTGTGGCTTTCTTTTCAGCATGACAAGTTTCTCTCCTTTAATGCCATGAGTTGTTTTTTCTTTTTTAACAAGGAAAGCCCCCAGCTTGACAATCTTTTGGACAGTATTGCAAATATCAACAGTGGCTTTTCTAGTGTGAGAAAATGGGAAGAGAGAAGGTCCATTGCAACCACTGAATTGGAATAACTCTGGTACTGCTCTAATTTCTCCTCCTATGTCCCTGACACCAAAAATGAGATGGAGGCATGCAGGAACAGGAACAGCAACAACCACAAAAAATTCAGCAGCAAAACCGGAAAAAGGCAGTCTCTCTCCAGTGCTGATAACTGCATGGCTGGAAAAGGACAGAAACAATGTGGTCCAGACACCTGGAGAGCTGAAAATAGGTACTGCTGTCAGGTTGTTTCGGAGGTTGCTTTCTGGACTTGAACTGCACACAGGTGCCAGAAAAGGAATGGTCTCAGCTAACTAAGCTTCTGTGCTTATTAAATAGGACACAAAAAAAGGAAAAGCAGAAAAGAGAGGGAAATGCAGTAAGGAATGAAAAAGCTACACAGCTGTGTTTTCCTGTTCTCATGAACTGAACAGCTGAGGTGGTTTTGTTTGGAAAAGTAGTTTTTTTTATTTTCAATTGTACAATTTTTTTAAAACTAATTGTATGAAACATATTAAGGTGCAATTTTTTTCTTTATTTTTACCTTGGTTGTGCTGAGATGCAGATTACCTCATATTTGAAATCTAAAGACAGTGCTGCAAATGAAAATCACCCTTTCTGACCCCAGTGCATCTTGAGGAATCCTTTTTTGCTGTTTTTCTAGGACATTTCTTTGGAGCTGTCATGCCACTGGCCCTCTGAGTGAGCTGTTTCTTTCACAGAAAAGCCTCTGGGCTTTTCTATGGTTGAGGCAGATTTTGTATCCTTGGCTGTACTGGAGTGGGGATCCCAAATCCATGACTGTAGTTTTGTGTTCTCAGCAGTTTTGAAAGTCCCCTTCCTAGGTAACTTCCAATGCAGATTTGTGGGCATCATCTACCTTGCTAATTTTCACGGCTAGGTAATTTTTCAGCTGCCTGCTGTTTTCACTTTTCTCTAATATGAGAAGTGAAGCTTTTTTTCAGGTTGCAATCAATGGTGATTACAGGGAGAAGAAAGAGTCAAGAGGAGGCAAATAAACAGTGTGTTGCTCTAAGAGCTGCAAATCTCGGCTTTGACTCAGGCAGGACTTCAAAGGACCTGTCTCAAAGCAGCTGAAGGTTCAGAGACCCTTAGGGCAGGGAAGACTACCATGATTTTCTAGATGCTCTAGAAGTTCTTCCTTCTCAAACAAGCCCTACCATTCCCCCACGGGGTATATTCAAACATGTTTTTATAGTTGGCAGAGCTGGAAACACAGCCCACTGGTGAAATCTGGCACACTGGCATATTGCCATTAAATATTAATTAAATTATTAACTAACTTCCCTCCAGGCCTGCAGCTCTGTTGCATCAGTCACAGGGCACATCCTTTGGAAAGCCTCTCCCCAAGAGGTAAGGTATCTCTTCTACTATGTCTGCCAGACCAGAATATGACACGGGGGACACCATGGTAGTAATCAGACTGGAGATGATACACTAGGAAAATTTTTGATGGAGTCACAGTTTATAGTGACTAAATGAGCTCTTTGCCCGGTGGAGGTTAAATATTTCTCCAAACTGCAACAACTATACCAGTAAAAGAAAAATTTACTGGTAAGAATTTCACATACTTAAGCAAAGTTGCTGGCATTGCTGTGTTGGAGTCATATATTAGCTTTATTTTTGTTGTAGTCTTTGGATTGCTGTGTAATTGTACTGACAAACCATTTCATGGTACAGACAAGCCCTAACTCGCAGCCATTAATTCATCTCAAGAGCTCATTCACCTGTACTCCCTGAGCAATTTTTAAATCCAAATATAAAATTTCCTGTTTCACCCTGTCATTAAGTTTTGTTTGTTTTCAGAGACATCTGAAGGAAAATAATTCTGAAATTAACTGGAAACAAGTAGGAAGCTGTGTCCTTGGCACATCAAGATTGACCACAACTGTAAGAAAAAGCTGCTCATGAAAGTGTCCTTCTTGACTCATGGAGAGCATACAAGGCTGTAATTTAGCTATAATAATCCCCTGCAAAATGAAACTGCTTACTTGTCCTAAATAAGAAGTCAAACCAGCTAATGTCTCATGACCCTTTGAAGGGACAAAGCTCTTCTGTACATATTTATTAGTGAATTTAGAGAACAATGCCAAGTCCAATCCTTCATTCTTATTGCGCCTGAAATTCCGGTTATTTCCTGAACCTCTGTAGGGCATATGCAGAAGGAAAATCCCTTACTGAAACAGCTGCATGGATATTTCCTTTGGGTTTTGGTTTTTTTTTGGTTGTTTTTTTTTTTTTTTTGAGAAGGAAAGGGTAATAAAGAATTGTCTAAGGTGGACATCCATTTCTTTAGCCAGTCTTACGTGCTTCAGGTTAAGGCTCAAAACTGGAAATGACCAGATTTTGCCACTTTTTCACACAATGAACAAAGCACAGTTAGTACCATTGCACAATATGTAATCTGCCCTGGAAAGCAAAGCCACTCCTCTCACAAGGCCTGGGAGTGCCTAAATTATGTAGCATTGCCATCTCCATAAGCCCTTGTACTGCCAATATCCACAATCACACTAAAGGCATTATATTCAGCAATTTGCTGAAAATGCAGCCATGAATGGTGGACAGAAGCTGGATCTGAAGAATCAGTAAGCCATCCCTATCCACCTAGGATAGGCCCATAACCCTCTGGCAGTGATTTGACTTCCAGGGAAAACTATCAAGAACTGGTGTGTAAATACACTGTTGA